TGTGGGTTCGCGTAGATTCCATGCTTGTGCCGGGCAGACTTACAATATGCTGCATCAAGGCTTTGCAGCAATCTTCGTAATTCTCTGGACTGTTTTGAAAGGCTGAGACCAATTTGAGATTCTATGGACGGGCTACATCTTCCAAAAGATGCAGAAACCTTTCAGCATAGCTGAGCAAACCTTCAAAGGCTTTGTGTCCCATGTCGTCTCGTACAAGCGCCTTGCATTTAGCCTGCAAGTGGTGTCAACCGTCAAGGCATCCGCTAGCCTATGCGAAAGGCCATGGACAAGCAGTTACCGGATAGATTGAGGCAGTACCTGAGGGATTCATGTCTCTATATCTGAATTCATGATCAGCAGGTGCCTGAAGGCTTCAGCAAGTGGGCTGTCTGTGCTCCAGAGCCCGGGAGGTCGTACCGGAATGTTTCGAAGCTGTACCTCTCGTCTGCGCTGAATCAACAGCATGGGACGCTCGGAGCGGTGAGGGTGGTGGCGTAGTGGCCATTTGTGCGTTGGCAGCGGCAGCACTTGATGGTCGCTATGATGAAGCCATTGCGGTGATTGCTCTTCTTCTGGTTGCCGTTGCTGCCGCCGCTGCTGCCGCCGCCGCCACTGCTGCTGCTGCTGCTGCTGCTGCTGCTGCTATCTGATGCTGACATTGCACGACGGCCTGTGGGTGGGCTGTAAGAACATCAGCAAGCATGCAGAAAATGAAGTATGACTCTGAGGTCAGGCCATGTCTGGTATGGGACCCGGACTTTGTGGTTGAACTATCCTGCTGCAGCCTCCACGTCAAGCATGTCGGAGGATCGGCATAAGATCTATACAAAGGTTTGAAGCCTTCACACTGCTTGCACCGTCGCATAGTATCGACAGGCAAAGAGTCCACCCTCAAAATGATGCAAACAAACATGCCAAATGTCCAAACGCTGGGGCCTGCAATGCACCATCGAGCGGTGAAAAGACTATTACAAGAAGGATTCTTTGGGAAGAGGAGCATTTCTGGCTGTCAGGCTGTAGCATTGTGTACGATGGCTGCAAGCCCGACCCAAGCTCCAAATCGGTGGGGCACTGTCGATCTGCAACATCCCAGGTGAGGTTCAGAAAGAACTTGTCCTGGTCGCCCTGAGCGTGAAACAAAACAGTCTGGACCGGGTATGCTAGGCTTTCCGAGGTCTTGCCTCTGCAGGGAGGTAAATGTGTAAGGTCTGCAGAATAGCATGTGCACAGCTTGCATATGTTGAGTTTTTGCTTGCTGGCAAGTGTGCAGATGAGATGGCTTGCTTGTGAAACATGATCAGGCTTTGGACTTGGTGGTTACAGCCCAGACCTCTGCGATGCGTGCGTGAGAAGCAGGACACGCTGCGAGATACTGTTGATACTAAAACATCCTGCATCACCTTAGTGTACTATAATAACGTAATTTCCAGGGTTTAGGTAATTGGGATCATGCAGGCTTATTTACTATCCACTGTCGTAAATGTTGCGCTTGATACCTGGCGCAAACACAAGCCTTGACAAATTTTTGTGCCAGCACATCCTGCCTGCTGCTGTCTGACTTTTCGGCACAAAAATCAACTGTAGATGACTGACCTGGTGCTTCCGCACGACCTTCACCGTTCATAATGCTCACAGCATGCGCAGGCCTTGTTGAATAAGAAGGCTGTGTGCCGTTTAGGTAACGCGGGGCGCTTGATGCCAGGTCCAGGGAGCCTACGGCGATCTGCTGCGCTTTACCTTTTTTTCTTTTTTCTTAGCCTGCTTGCAGCCGTGCTTCCACGTACTTGCGTGGGTGGTAGAGGAGCAGGCTCTCCAAGCAGCCCGCATAGTACCTCTGCAGGCACTGCAGGCTCGGGTTGCAAGGGCAAATCCACCAACCGGGTTTAGGGTTTATGGTGTAGGCTGCACCCAGCGCCCACAACCCAAAACTCTTCCCAGGCCTGACACAGTAGAAAAAGCCCAGCGCCGCCCCCAGGAGCCCGCACAGCAGCCTTGGATTCGAGGTGCAGAAGAAGTCCCAAAAAGATCTAACACACTTACCTTACCTGATGCAGGAATGCACTGGGTCTAGTTCACCCCTTCATACATCCTATTGAGTACATTGCAGAACAGCAGGCTCAATAACGCTAGGCATCCTGAAGCCCGCCGCTTCAGATTTCAGTCACCTGTGCCCAAGCCAGCGAAGCTGAACTAAAGGTTTGGACCTACCACATGCAGCATGCAACTTTCTTGACATGTCTTACCACCGGAAGAAATTATTGAGCTTCTCATAGAGTTGAACAAGCTATCTTTCATGGTGCGTGCCCAGCAAGTCATCTACAAAACCCCTAAACAGCCAGCCCCGGACCTTTATGCAAAGTCCATGTCTTCATCATACATATCAATAGATCTTTGGCGATCATCTAAAATCCAAGCATGACCAGGCGACGGCGCCGCCACCAGCGAAGTGCCCAGAGTGAAAACCGCGGCAAGTAGGCCTTGCCGCGCTCACGCAGCGCAAAATGGCCAGCGATGGCAGGAAGTGAAGAAAGATGAACATGGAGCAGTAGCCACTGTAGCACTGTAGCGCTGTAGCAACTAGCAGCTAGCAAAGGCAGCAGCAGCAGCAGCAGCAGCCGGAACAAGAAGAAGAGGAGGAAGTAAGCATCGTAGTAGTAGGAGTAGGACTAGCAGTAGCAGTAGCAGCAGGAGGAGTACGAGTAGTACAAGCAGGGGGGTGGTAGTAGCAGCAGCTGTTGTTGTTGTTGGCATTGTGGCAGGTGGTACTACTGCTGCTGCCGCTACTCCTCCTCCTGCTGACACGGCAGGTGCTAGTACTCTTGCAACTGCGACTAGCACCACCCCCACTACCCGCACCACCCTGCAACCCACCGCCACAGCCCTGTAAACCAACGACTCACGGCCTCGTTGCCAAAACCCACAGCATAGCAAGATCCATCAATACGATACCCCAAGGAAGAGGCCGGCACTCCGGCACAACCTGGATTTGAGCTGCGAACATCCAAGGCCATTCCTCTGCCGTTCGTAGCCAAGGTGGACTTTCAATTTATGCGGGCTAGCAGCACTCTTTAGGCTACAATGTGAATTTCAAGAAGTGCGCTAGCACACGCACTACGTAGTACTCAAGTCCTGCTACGGACAAGAAAACAAGCCACACCAATAACCCTTGCAAGGGTAATCAGAACTCCGTAAGAATCTGAGCGCCCCTCGGCCGAGGGCGCCGCCCAGGGCGCCGCCCAGTGTCGTGCCCAGGCAGGTGAAGGCCAAGGCCCCGAGGACACCCTTGGAGGCACGCCACCTGACGTGGAGTGTTTCTGTAATCCTAAAAAGTGGACATCCTGCCTACCCCAACCACCCAAAATGACCGGAGGGGCATTGAAAAGCCGGCTTCTCAAAACTGCTTATCGGCGGCATACTGTCGTTTTGTCACTGTATATAATCAATAAGACCAGTCTCCGAGTTTGAAAGAACCTTTGAGGATCTGAACGTCGTCCATCTAGACTGCTGCATGTACTCCGTATGTCCCTGAAGCCAACCCCATCCTACATTGAGGCGGAAACCTGAGGCCCTGAGGATCAAGGATGCTATGCATCGATGTTCGGTTTTGAAAGCTTCAGGCGCATGAACAGCTAGAATAATTGGCTGACCACCTAGCATGAAAGCATTGAAATTCATCTCCTCAGAAACCATCGGGCTGAACGCCTCATCCGCGAGACGCGGGCGCCGAGGAAATCATTCTGCATACCAATCTACATCGAACACAGAAGGAGAGTAACACGCCGAAGAGGGAGAGGTCGGCTGGCACTTAGCAGGGACAGACTCCAAATGGAGTACCTTGAATCTGCCAGACCAACAGCTCAGCACGACAACAAGGCATGAGCGTAAACCTCAACTAAGAAAATGGAAACTACTATAATGGGTACAATATAACCCCAGTGTCCATTTCATTTTCCATTTTTTTCCATTTGATTCTCCATTATTGGGGTAATAATGGGTATGTAGTCCTGAACTTGAAGCCTGGAACGCAATCCCCAGACCGCCCAGCGGTTGGCGAACTTCCATTACGAGCACATGAGTACCGAGGTCTGCACACAAGCTTCCACATGTCGTCTGGGGCTTGCATGGCAGTGTAGCGGCTACCCTGCTGCCCTCTGTACAGAACTTGAAGATTACAAGCTTAGAGGTTCAGGTGGAGGGCTTGTGGGGGTGAGCTTTGTACTCTGCTTGCAGATCTAGATCTGACTCAGACTCAAGTGCTGAGGCACCATTGCCCCAGCAATATGTTATGGTGACACCCTTGTAGCGTTGCAGCTCTGGGGTTCTGGGAGTTCTTGCTGCTTGTCCCTGATGTTGGCTGCTCCCCCGATGCTCATGATTGCCCATGGCTGCGAGGCGTGCGCGCTAGGAGTGTCAACCCTGTGGCCGAGGCAGTATTCGCTGTTCGCAGCTCCCAAGAAGGAATTCCAAAATCCAATCAAAGTGCCGGCTCCGGCTCGCTCAACCGTCGTCATAGCTGTTATGCCGACATGTTTCCCAACATTCCAGCTGCACGGGCCCCGCCGTCTTCGATTCGGCGCTCGCACACCCCACGCCGTACCTGGCCCGATGAGGAAACCTTGAACAGCCCCTGCCCAACCCTTAACTTAGTTTTTTGGGTTTCGGATTCAAGGCCTGTGATGGGCTCAAAAACCTTCAGGCTCAGCGCATGACACCACACTAGCTGAAGAAAGGAGGCTGGCTTTCCTCAACAATAGTCAGAGCAATCCAGGAATACATTCCCCCATGTGAGCCTCTGAGCAAGAATCAAAAAACTCTGTCTGAAGAGGCTTTACCAGAGAGACCCCAAATCTGGAGTATCCCAAGTTCACTGAGCAGCTTTCGCAGGTTCGTTCTCAACAGGATGCCGACCTACAGTGTAGTGTACTGAGCAAATAATTGATCGTGGTTCCAGGCTACCTAAAAAGCTTTCATGCATAGCCGTTTTGTCGCTTTGAGGCTTCGAATTCGCGAATAGTCTCTGCAACGCGCTCGACAGTGTGCTCTGGCTGCAGCTGGTCGAGGTACCTCAGCTGATAGGGGGAAGTGAAATGTCAATGGATAGCCAAAGGACGCAGTTCGCAGTGTGCGGGTCATGTTGGATTAGAGTTCAACAAACGCAAACTGTTCCAGCACACACCTTGCATTAGACTCGAGCACGGCATGCTTCGGATGATTTCTTGGAAGAGGCCTCAACATCTGCACACCCGTGTACACCAAAATAGAGGTCCGCATGTAGGTGAGCCTGCCTGGTTTCCTGTTACACATGTGGCGTCTTGTATCTGAAGGATCCAAAAGTTGATCTCAGAAAGTGGGGGTTCAGACAAACCTATCAAGCCCTTGCTAACAGCAATGGAGTTGAGACCGCCCACTCATCCATCAAAACCTTCACGGGAGGGCCTCAAGTAGTCCCTATCACGAGGCTGCTCAAGAGCTTTGAACCCAACATCATGGGCTTAGCGCCCAGGGTAAAATTTTTATTTGTACTACAAAATTTACTATTGTGATTATTGTATCTTATTCTTATACTTACCATAAATGCGGCCTGAACCTCAAGGATACACGGCTTGACGTATCTCCTCATTAGGCAGCACCATGGTCCCTAGACCATTTACGTTTGGGACTCTGCAGCCTCTTCGGCCTTCTAACCAGTCTAACCAGGGGTAATCCAACAGAAATGCGACACATATTCCCCTAAGACAGCCCAACAGAAACTTATGTCAAAAGAGGCACGGTATGTTCTGCAATTCCTCATTCCTCATTCAACCTGGGGAATGAGTAGGTCAGCCCTTGCGCCTCATCTTCTCGCCCTAAACCCCAGACCCCCCCTCGCCCGCAAACCACGCAGCCCACTAAACTTCCCCACGGCACCCTGAAAGCCCCAAACAGACGACTCCCCTCACCCTGTAATACCCTGTAATATACGGGCCTACAAAAATTGCCCACATCATCTTGAGGTCAATTTCAAATCCCCTACACCATATTTCTGGCCATAATGTTGGTAGTTCTTTAGGCCCCTTACAGTATCCCTGTCGCGCCGTGAGCCTCTTAAGGCGAGGTGCAGGATCTCGGAGGCCAGCGCCTCCAACAGGAACAAGAAGAATGTGGCCGTCTGCTCGCTCAGCGGCACCTTCCGAACGAAGTTTGTAACAGCAGTAGGAATAGGAATTATGAAAAAAAGAAGGGTAGGAAGAATGCTAGTCATATTGATAATAGTAACAACAAATAATAATAACAACAATAATAATAGGCACCTTCGGCACAAAGTTTGAAGGCCTGACGTGTTCACAAGTCTGGCAAGGGAAGGTACCACAAGGACGAGCCTGTGTGCCTCGCAGCGCATGGCATTGTGAACCCCAGTCTAATATGACGAACCCTGGCAACTTCCCTATCTGGCTGAAACGCATTTGGAAGTGAAGCGCCTTGTTCTTGGTAATGCGCCGCTTCAAATGTGGTGGCGTGAAGAGGCCACGGTGCCCTTGCCTTGAGTTGACGTTCTGTAAAAAAAGGGTACTCTTGAGGTTTGCACAGGGCTTCCTGCCGGACTTGAAGCGCATGCTGTGCCTTTCTGGATCATACGGTCTTGCTGTAGAACGCTAAAATGCGGTACTATAGCTGTGGTTAAGCACTCGACACACTCCCACTAATCATCAAGGTATCAGGTTTGAACCCTCCGCCTAAAGTGACCCACTTTCAAAACAAGTAATACGGCTGCGTGCGCGAGCGCTCCGTGATTAAAACCTCAACACCTAAAAGAGCATGAGGCAACTTGCCTGACATACGGAAGCCTTTCAACATCAGCTACAGTCCAGTCTCAAAAGCTCGGGATGCACTGCCACAGGAACCAAATCTGCAGACAACTTTCGGGATGTGGAATGATAGCGAAAATCTCTCAAAGGCTAGGAGAGAACTCACTTGTGCTGCAAGCCCCCAGAGAAACTCCAGAAGTTCAATTCCTGGCTTGCCCTCTTTCTACAACATGCTGACAGAATGTCCCTGGTCATTGTTCCAGAGACGAACTGTTGAGCAACGTATACTAGAACACCAAGAGATCGGCTAAGCTGCATGGCTGCCACAACCAGACTCTGGACAATGCTGTGGGCTGGGGCGCAACGGTTAACCAACTCAGCAAAGTACCTTAGTCGTTTATTTGCATTCATGCCCTCTCAAATCGGCAACATTGCTCATGCCCTCACAATGTTGCCACATGGATCTCAAAAGCGTTCAAAAGCTAACATTTCTCCAGCAAAGTCCGGGTGCACTGCAGGCGCGTCTTGCAGCGTCATGGGGTAGCCTTTGCTCGCAATGCATGCGATTGCTGAGACTGCGGCCTTCAAAGATTTTGCCACGTGAGCATAGCGACTTTGATACTTATACAGCTGGTCTGCATGCAATTCGGGTCCCACAAGAGGCAAGCTTTTAACACGGCCCAGGAGCTGCACAGCATCGTCCCGGAGCACTGCATGTCCACAAGGCGTCGGTCGAGCTCTTCCTGGATGACGCCGTGGCCGCAGTCAATGTTGACCCCCAGGGCGGAAACATATTTCTCCTGGGCTTAGGTCCAGCACAGGTCAAAATCATGTTCTCAAGCTGGCAAGACAACAATTCCTTTTGAAGATGTGAAAAAATGTTGACATACACGCTTCTTTACTGTTTGCCCAATTTTTTTTGCTGTGTGAAAAAAATCCAAAAGACAAAAGGTGCCATGGTGGATCTCGGCTTCCGGGATGTCCAGGGGCAACACCGCCTTCAGGTGCGACATGTCTTCGACAGGTGTCGCAAGAGAGGTTTCAGCTCCAGTGAGGAGCACGTCACAGCCACCATCACCTAGGCATCTACGGGGAAAATGGCTACAGACACAACAAGTGTGGCCGTTCCCCAGAGTTCCCCAGCTGGAATGTTCCAAAGGCCAACCCGACCTTTCTGGCATACTTAGCTTTTGATGTCAGCGCTTGCACCAGCAAAATTCGAGGGCACTTGTGAAGATTGCAATGGAATGGGCTGGCCAGCACTAAAGCAGGGATTCTAGGTTGCCGCTAATAAGGAACTTCAATTGACTTGCCACAAAGAAGAACCCTATTATTTGACAGTTCAGACTGACGTGGAACCGCGGAAAAACGCAAGGATAGCTCCAAGAGCAGACGAGTTGCAGAGGATCAGCACATCTGCTGATGGCTTTCTGTCGCCAAACTCGCGTCTGAGGGCTGCTTCATAGCCTTAGAAGCAGTTCGTCAGCATTCTGTCGCAAAGCCTAAACGCTGACCCAACAACAACACATTGCAGCATGAAGCTCAGCAACCTTCTGTGTATTGCGCAATGGTCGCGAAGTGCGACAGAGTGTAGACGGGAATGTTTGTCACGTTTGCCATCCGCGCCTCTGGGAAATAGATCTGCTGGCGAGGGTCCTCCGCGATCACTACATTGCCTCAGCTGTCAGGCTTGAAATGAAATTTCTACTCGACTGCCCATTCCACTGCACCATAGACCCCAAGTTGCTCTGGGCACTATACCGAAAACCCCCATGATGAGGCTGCTAAGACAGCTCCTCACACAAGCTGCCGGGGTCCACTCGCCAGCACTTGGAGGAGACCTGCTCAGCCGTTGCCGTGAGGAGCTCATCCTTTGTGAAGGAAAGGCTGAAGAAGATCACCTTTCCAGGGATCTTCTATTAAAAGTCCATCATTATTGTTATTTTGATTGGTAGTAGTAATAGTATTACTCTTTTTAGTATTCTTATTAGTATTGTTGTTAGTATTACTATGGGTGGGATCATGTTCTAGCAATGGAGGAGCAGACAGGGATGATGAAAGCAGGGCTGTACAAATTACGCACAGACTGATGCGTGCAGACGGTTACCAGGGGCGACTGCCAAGTTTGGGAAACTGCTGGCGGCTTGAGATTGGAGGATTTGGAGAAGTTGCAAGTTGCAAGCATTATGAATCGTACATCTGGGGGGTCCCACGAATTATGTTTTAATTGTGGTTAGGATTCCGGCATATCTCACGCCGAGACCCTACTGCTTTTTGGGTGATTGGCATGTGTGAAGGCTTCAGTATGAGGGCAAGAAAGTAAAAGGCTTTTCCAGCGTGCATACTATGATCAAAACCAAACCTTCTTGAAGCCACCCCGGCCCACACCGAAAAGAAGCGCTGCGAAGTGAAGTTTGAAGACTCTGTACCGGCCCATGCATCGTATGCTGCCGAACAATATGAACATCGCAAACCCGCTTGCAGGAAGATTACAAAAATCGGATCCCATTGCAGGTCTAGCTCTGCCCTGCCTTCTCAGCTATGCCTCGGACTTGCTGGTAGATTACGGAGGTTCCAAGCACATCGCAGCCGCCTCCGCAGCCCGAGAGAACGACCCGCTTCCCCTGGAGCCCGTCCATGAACCATTCCATGGCCTAAAGCCAGCCAGGATGCTAGGAAACTTTTGCTACAAAACATAGGCTCCTATGGTACCATAATATGAGCCCTATAGTAGTCCCCTATATCACCCCCTTTAAGGAGTTTAGGCTACAGCTCATATGGTACCATATGAGCCGCTTCAATCTAGAGCTATGGTATGGCAAGCTCACTGCTGGAAGCTTGAGCATCGGCATTTTGGGAACCCCTCCCCGTGTGTCTGAACTTTGGTTCCCAGCGCCACTCAAATAGCATAAGGCTCAAAGGATGAAAAGACTGGAGCCCCGTAGGGGTCAGCAGACTACTTGGTGGCGTTGCACGATTTGACTGCCTGGGCTCACGGAATAGAAGTCTGGGCATCTTACTCACTTGCCGGCACTTAAATTTACAAAAACAAATTGAGCGGGCGCGTATAGGACTCGTGAAACGGTTGCTCCCACTGACTAAGGCCGTCATGCACTCATGATCTTTCTGAATTCCAAGTGAGCTGAAGAAATACGGGGGATTCAAGCAAACACCGACAGGTACTTCCGGGTCCGGAGTGTTGATAAATTGGCTCGTGTTTGGACCCGCTGCTGTTTCTCTCAAGGGCAGCACGCTCATGTTTTGGCACCGTCACTGGCCTCCGTCAGGAACCTCCCAACAACTCAGACTGGACTCGACTTCCCACAACGCGCATGCCTGTTCCTGGGTATCCCTACACCCTAAACCCTCTACGGCATAACGTTTAGGAAGATCATGAGGTCTATGAAGCTCCATACACTTCGAGGCCTGCCTGAGCTGTGAGGCATCTCCAAAAGCGACAGGTATCCACTCCATTGGACTGCTCTGATTTGAGATGGTTTAGGGTTTAGGGTTATAGGATGACAGGATCAAAAGGAAGAACATGGGTCACTCTTTTTGGCAATCCAACCCACCAGCCCAAGGTAACTAGTGCTGTTACACTTGCCATGACCCTTCCGATGCAACTGCCCGAGCCACCTTAAAGTCTGGACCTTGATACTACTTGGAGGATCGAGGGGACTTGGTAAGTCTACTTTTACCCCCTATACACAACATGATAACCGCAGTTAGCCCTTAACCTATTCACTAAGTGTCCCTGACCCTCCATGTAAGCATCTAAGATACTTGCGAGCAGCCCCTGCGCTAGGTGCCACTTCCGGTTTCAGTGGCGGGAAGATTCCACCAGCCACAGCAAGTTGTCATGAAAGCACGAGAGGGTAAATTGCAACTCCTGCAACGAATCTAACCATTCTCACTCCAAACCGTGCTGCCCTCATAATGACCCTAAGGAAGTGCTACTGGGCCTTGGATGACACATTATGATTACATCCTGCTGATGTGCTTGTGCCATCTCACATTCCAGTCCCTAGACCTACAAGTATCATTAGACCTGGACCCTAAAGAATTTCCTTTACCCTCCCCCTTCATGATGATGTGGGAGGCGGGAAGCTCAGCGCCAATTTTGAAGATCTTTGCTGACATGAGCCTGCCCACCCTGCCTACTGATCGAAATAAGGGTCTCCCTATATCCACACCGCATGCAAAGGTGAACCACGTCTTCATGTACATAGTCGCATGTTGTCTCAGGACTGCAAATAAATACTAATCTAAAAAAATCAGAAAGGGCAGATGGGGTGGTTGATCAAGTTCTTGTCTGATTTCGGAACAGCCCGAGATTCCTCTCCTCCCACACATACCTAAAGCGCGGCATGCTTGCCTTTTTCTCCCACTTTGGTCAGATGCTGCTCTTCCTGAGCCAATACCTAGATGAGTCTGAGAAACGGTCCAAAACCTTCAAAAGGAGCTTGAAAACATCCAGAAAACACCGGTGAAAGCCAGCAGCATGTCTGTGGCTCTGCATCTAAACTTGAGACCCCAACATGATGTTGTGGCTTGGCCTCACACCACCTGAATTGGAACCGCCTTCCTGGAATGTCTGGACGCTTGTGGGATGTCGACAATATCGAGATCAGAAACCCTTCAGCCTCAAACCCCGAACCCCCCGGAAGCAAGCGGGCAATCGGGCTAAGAAAAGTGAAAATCATACAAAAACAGAAACTTATCGCAGAGCTTGAAAGGCAACCCTGCCGCAAGGACTCTGCCCACCTGGTCTTATGGCAAGTGGCGCAGGCAGTTTTGGGGCGGAGCCATCTCAGAATAGGTGAGCAGCTTCATTTCCCACACCCTTTATCCTAGTCCTGCAGCATTATTGCTGAGAAATGAAGTTTCGAGTTACATGCCTGAAAGATCCTGGATGTCCAGTATACTTGAGATGCTCCGCCAAGTAAAATGCAGCAACCTTGGACAACCCAGCTGGAGGTCTGTTAATTACGTCTTTAGACTCATGCCCATGGTTCCATACACAGGCACCAGCTGAAACTCAAGCTCCGCAAACCTCTACTTGTGAGTTGCCACACTCATACTCCGAGAATAGCTAACGTTGGTACCCTACTAGTCCTGGCAGTGTCCTTACTACAAACGGTAGTTTCCCAAAATAGTGGGGACGCCAGTACAAACCCCAAAATACTATAATCCTTGTTATTCCTTCCAGAGACCTGTAAACGC